TGATTTACGGCAACTGCATGTTTTCTAGAAAATCTCTGGCTGACCCTGCTCTGCAGTCCCATGTCTCACACTCCAGCTCTTTCGCTGTGCTGGGGACTTCTCTCTTCTCCTGCTGGCACACTCTCCCACATCCTTGGAGTTTCCATTAAACATTGCGCGCGATGGGAGGCTCCCCCATTGTCGCAGAGGGCGGGCGGCCTCCCCAGGCTCCCGCAGCCCCCGCACTGACCCTATCGCATTCCGATCCTATGGGATGTTTAAGAACTGTCTTCCCAGTGAACCATTGGGGACCATGAAACCAAGTTTATGTCTATCTTTCCCCAGTTGCATCCCCAGCATTGAATTTGAACAGGTCATTAATGAGTATTTGTGGATGGATGGATGGATGGACGGATGGCAGCATGCATGCCAGTGAAATCTGCTCCTAACAGGTCGCGTTCCCAGGCAGAGTTTAATTAGACAATATTTTAATATTGATGAAGTGTGGAGTGCCACACAAACTCCATGCTGAGACCATGGATTTCATCAAGAAAAGTCCCCAAGGAAGAATATGTTATTAAATTTTTAGAACTTTAAAATTGGAAGGAACCCCTTTTATCATTTAGCTAAATGGCCTCAATTAAGAGAAAGAGAAAGCTGAGGAACAAAGAGATGAAGTAACTTGCCAAAGTCACCCAGTTCGTTAGGGCGGGACTGGTGAGCTGGGTCTGGGTCTCCAGCATTTGAGCCAAAGAGCGCGCTGGGCACTGACGGCTTTAGGAGTCCCAGATCCAAACACTGGCTGCGATGGCTCCGGGTGATGAATCTGATGCTGGGCAGGAGGAGGGAAGGAACTTTGGGCTGGAGGTTGAGTGTTTTCAGATTCAATGCATTTTGTGGGCAGGAAAGCACTTTTATGTGAGAGCTTCTAAACTCTTCAGCCCTAGTGGGTACTTTTGGAAGTGTTTTAATTTCTGGATCACACACTCATTTCTCCAATATGCCCAGTAGATTTTTTTCCCCATCCAGGGTCCTAAAGTAGCAACGTAGATTTGGGAAAATAATTAGTAAAAATCTAAAAGTGAGAAATTATTCCCAGAACACTTAGCTTGCTCCTTCAATTACACACTAGAAAATGACTAAGACTCTATTCTGCGCGAATGCTGGAATCTCTCCCTAAACCCTAAGGTGGGTAAGCTTACCGAAATATCTTTACAATTTTATTAGAGGTTTTAATTCACTGCTTTATCAATCTCTGTTAGACTGCAACATAGCTTTAAATATTCCAGTGGTAATTAATGAATCTTTTATGTTGCAAATCAAGTATGTCCATCTGTGTGCGCTGAGGTGAGGTGAGGAAGAGCGAGGGCTTCTCCCGCTCCCATCTGCTGACTGCGCACGGCTCCAGGCCGCTGTCGCTCGCTGCCTGGTGGGGCCAGCGCTCCACGCGGCCCAGGTCTGCTGTCTTTCTGAAGGTCAGGCTCCTTACGTGTTTCTTGCCAGAGACATTCCCGACTAGATGGAAAGTCTTTGAATGTGGAATTTTTGCTTGAGTGCAAAATAATAAAAAGCATGTGTATGTTAAAAAAGGATCAGCTTAATGGCAAATGAGCTTTGGTCTGCATTAATATTCTATTACAGTAAAAACTTCTATTTAATAGATTTTCTCCAGACTTTCCCCCCCAGAAACTAATGTATTTTTCTAAGTGGCCTGCCAACCTAAGGAAAGTATGTATGATACATTTGATTTATGTTAAGTCAATAACATGCACAAGCCATTTGAAATTGTATTTTCAATGTAGAAATATCAACCCAAGGAAGCATGTATAGTACCCTATATTGAGAAGGGAGAGTTAACTTTTCGGAGGCTGAAATGCCTTATAAATGCTATTCTACTTAGTAGATATTTTTTAAATGTGGTGCTCTGTCAAGTGGTAAGAAAGCAAATCTGAAATCCTGCAATTTAGTTTAGAACCTAAAATGGAGCTGATATTCAAGACTTCACTGAACACAGCAGTTTTCCTGTCCTTTCTCACTAATGAGTGAGCCGTGAGCGCCGCCTGACACACGCACCACGGCCTGCCGAGTCTGGAAGCCACTGGTGCTCTTCTCCGGCCTAATTAATACCGGACTTGGTGACATTTATGTATCAGAGCAATAAGCTAAACAGGAAACAATTTATGTCACCTAAAGCTTTTTACCAAATCGATGCAGCTCTTTGTAATTACTTGTTTCACAAGATGAAAAGTGCTAAGGCCTGATCTTCGTCCATGGATTTGTGGTCAACTTGACCTGTGCTTCCGTTGTTAAAAAAAAAAAAAAAAAAAGCGTTGGTGATCATCACTGACTTCCATCAAGTGATCCATATTGCTAACATTTCTGGAATTTTAATGTAGTTACAATTTATAGCCGATCAAATGTGGTTACCTAAATTGCTGTTGCTAGTAGGCAGTTTAACTGTCTGTATTAATTACAGTATAATTTAATGTTTGAACACCGGCACTTGTGTTGGTCATTTTTACAGCTAGAGCAGTTATCTGCCTTATGACGAACCATTTTAGCATTTTCGATGGAAATTTGCTAATATGATGAGTGATAAAAATGTCACACACTGGTAAATAATGATTATTGCTTTGGCTGAAATTAATTCTTGAAAGATCAGTTACCTTCAAATTATCATTATAACTTGAAGCTAGTCTTTTTCCTTCCTTATATTCTCAGTATGAGCCAAAAAAAGAAAAAAGACTGAAAGACTGGTAATTTCAAATGAAAATATCCATTATGTAAATGTTATATATATGTATTTATATATATAAAATCATTGAAGGTCATTTTACAATAGGTTTTGCTTCTTTAAAAAAATCAAATATTGCTTAAAAATAAAGTAGGTGGTATTTAGAGTGATGGCTTTCTAATCCAACTATTGTTCCAGCTAAACCCGTGTTTTCAGTGTGACTCCATTTCCCTCCAATGTGAATTCTGTCTTAAACGTTTCATCAATCAGTCAATTCCTTAAATGAAAGTATCAGACCCAACTTCACTTTAACAAGGAATACTTTTATTTGACGCAACTACAATGATAAATTGTGATCACTACCCTGAACATAAATGTGTAATATCAAAGAAGACAAAATCTAGTAAGACTAATTATACTTTGGTTTGATTTTTTTTTTTTCTGAGAAGTGGGTGTTACTCTCATGTACCTGTGTTGGTGTGAAGCTGGTGTTCCTAAGAATTTAGGCTCTTTATATAAAAGTCCTCATTTAAAAGACAAACCTGTATTTGGGGTTTGCTGCCTGGTTTACCTGAGGGACAAGTCTGGAATATGTAAAAGATGGTGATTGTGCTTTAGAACAGTTCCTGACGTTCAATTTAAAGCTGTACTAGGTAGCAACCTGCAGTATCATCACTAATGCCGTCATGCCCGGTGTGGGTCCTTCAGCTTATTCAAATGTGTGTACATATTTAACCTCACCCGCTGCGTATGCTGTGGGCAGCACTGTGTAAGCCCAGCATGTAAGGAATCTCAGTTAACGCGTACATTCTTAGTTCGCCAGGCGAGAACTGAGGGTCTGAGGTTCGCTCATCACCAGGTAGGTAGAGGACTTCGGGGCTGCGGCCCGCCTGGCCCGCCTGCCCAAGAGGAGGGGACCCCCTGCAGCTGCTCAGCAACGCGGACATGAGAACAATGGTTTCCCTGAAACGCCGCCAGGAGAGCGTTCACCTCTCCTCAGCATGACCGCGTCTTGCCAAGTGAAGGCGGCAAGGTCCATCTCCAAGTCCCTTCGCTTGTGTGATGTGCTCGGAACCACGCAGGTAACGGTTTTTATTACCACACTTTGGCCACGTGCTGCTTTCAATAAACTTGCGAATTCAACCCATGTGCTGTAAGAATTTTTAAAGCACGTAACACCTGTTTAAAAATACCGGGAACTGACTTCTTTTCCCTTAGATGGTCAAATAAAAAATGACAACAGCCAGCCAGGTCAGTGTGGCTCAGTTGGTTGAGCGTTGTCCCGTGTTCCAAAAGGTCACTGGTTCGATTCCTGGTCGCGCACATGCCCGGGTTGTGGGCTTGATCCTCAGTGGGGGAGTGCAGGAGGCAGCCGGTTGATTTTTCTCTCTCATCGATGTTTGCATGTTTTTCTCTCCCTCCCTTTCTCTCTAAATAAATCAATAAAACATGTTTGAAGAAATGACAAGAACCATCTAGCCATCTAGTGTGAATCAAAATTATACTTTTTTGGCTGGATCAGCAAAAAAACACATTGTTTTGGTTTAACACAGAATTTTGGCGATTAGGTTATGTGTGCCGTGAGACAGAAAAGGTTGAAAATTGCTGCCATAGACCAATTTAATTTTTACTGAAAGATGATGCCCGAATTCATTAATCCTTAGTGTATACAATATAACATTAAAAGGAAATTTTATTAAAGATATGCAGTTTTTTAAAAATCTCAAGATCAAGATGTTTTTTCTGGAATATTTAGTTACTGGTGTTCTACTGTTTCCTTCACTGAGTGCACTAATCTAACATTTTTCATATAATATTTTTATAAAATCATTTGTTCTAAGCATTTATCATTATATGCAAAAAGATTTCTTGATGAGAATATTATAGACGGTGCATGTTTTTGACATTAGCATTTTATTTGGATGACTAATCTTGCAGATGTGAAATTCTAATGAATTATTCATGATATTGCTTTCCTCTGAAATTTCAGTTTGCTCTTAATGCTAGTTATTAAACATTTTGTTTTTCTCTATAAAATTTGATGAAGAAAAATAAGGGTGCGCTTCCTGGAGAGAAAAGGTAGCCGCCTCGTTCCTGTTTTCCCAGTTCTCTAAGCGGAGGCTGTACCTGAAGCCCCGAGGACGAGAGCTTCAGGCCTCCGTGATGCTGAAAGCTCTCCATTCCCAATGATTTTAATTCCATGTTGGAAGCAGCTGACGAAACCCAGGGCACATGCCCAACAGACAGGACCAGCCGGTGAGAAGGGGAAAGAAACTTAGGCTGTGGCGACTTTTACCACCAGTGTGAACAACCAGCATTTTATTGCATTTGAGAATGCTATCATGTCAGTAATCAGTACTGACTACACATTTTTTTTATTGTCTGCATCCACAGACACGGAATGATGGAATTACAGTTGATGTCAAGAAATGAGTTTCTTTTATATCTTATCAAAACAAAACAAAACAGAAAGATTCCTGTTACTGGCAGCGCCCACCCTCGAAGCGGGGTGAGCACGGTCCCGCTGTGCCGCCTTCGCCCGGCGTCTGGGTGGGAGACCGTGTGAACTGCATTGGGCCCACGGATGCCTTTAGATTACAAGTCTCATTCTCAGGATAAAAAAGCAAAACCAACTCGCAAACACATCCAAAGTGTCAACAGGGTGTACCATTAACCAAAAGGTAGCAACTCTTCAAACCCTTACAACGCATGTTCTCTGCACCCTTGGAAATGGAGCTCAGCTGGAATGTGGAAAGGAGAGGAAATATTTAACTTTTTTTTTTTTCACGATAAAAAAGCTAGTGATTTACATCATTTTGAGGGTTAAGAATCCCGGGTGTTGGTTACGGCGTGATGGGATGTGGCGATGTCAGAGCTGTCCTGTCCGTGGGGCCGCTGGCGGCCCTCGGTCCCGCAGCGGAACTCGGCTGGCAGCACAGGGTCTAGGGGCCAGAGGGATGGGTCGGCATGCCTGACAGTGCATTTGCCTGATACGAGGGACTATGTCCCGAAAGTATGCTTTTCCTTGGAAAAAAAATATGTAACAAATTGTGTTTACATTTTGGCACCTTGTAAAGTTTTTTTTTTTTAATACAAAACGTTCAATAGCTTTGACACTCCTCGCCATTAATCACCACTTCACTGATAAACTTTGAAAGTGTGACCCTGCAATTTCATCATGCAAAATATTTACTGCAGCAGGAGAAAACATTGTTTAAAACATTTTTTTTCTCTTTTCAAATGTATGAACTTGTTTAAGATCACCAGGAAGGCAGTGTAGGATAGACACAATGGTTAGGAATGTATCAAAAAAACAGATTAACACACATGCCCACGCGCGCACACACACACACACACAAAACCTGTACAAAATGCTCCAATCAATGAGAAGAGGGGGGGAAAAAGTCTGTTAACTATGTTACAATTTAAAAGCAAAAGAAAAAAAGGTTAGGGAATTTCTCTCTCCCACGTGTCAGGAAATGTCATCCAATATTCTTAAAGCAAGGATAACTACATAAAATACATGTGCAGCATATTCTGCAATTCCATTACATACAGTAGTTTTTTTTCCCCAAAGCTATTTTTTAAGTATCATGAATATAAAGCAGTTGCACAAAAAGCAAAAGTGTTTTGACAAACAGGTGTATGCATTTATTCCTTTTTAGGAACAATATCTAAAAAAAGAACCGCCCTCCTCCCTCCCCAAAAAGACGAAGATTCACACAGACACGTTGGGATATATGTACAACATAATAAACCACCCCCGGGGAAGCGACCGGGACAGCCCCGGGGTACAGAACCAGAAGTGTAAAAACCAGAGCGAAGTTTGCTTGCTGTAAAGCCTGAGAATTTTTTTCAGTTGGTTCTCCTGCAAGGCTATGATACCTGCAACGACATGTAAAGTCTAATTTTTCCTTTTTACCTTTTGCTACAGTCTTTAGACTAAGCATGCAAGACATACGACTAAGTGCAACTGAGTGACTTTTTTTAAAAATTTTAATCATTCCCTAAGGTTTGAACTGAGGTATGCGTACTAACAGTTTCTCATGCTGTTATCTTTACTCATGTCTAGCTACACATGCTGAGAATGAACTAATCTACCAGATTTGTATCCTCTTTTGAATACCAAACTAACCAGCAACCACTCCGTTGAGAAGCACAGGGCGCCCTCCCCGGCCCCGCTGGCTGCTGCCCGCACCCCGAGCTGCGTGGCCAGGAAGGCTGACGGTCTCGCGTGGCCACAGGCTGCGCCGGTACAGAAAGCCAAGACGCTTCCAAGTCAACCGCCACAGGAGTTTTTGTACCAAGCTTAGAGTGGACAGGAGTGTTACTTTTTTAAAAAATGAAAAATGCTGGCGAAAGCCTAATCAGAAAAAAATAAAAAAAAAATCTTTAAACAAAATAAGGAAAGAGGATATATGCCAAGAGAAACCAAGATTACCACAGTGATCACAGCACAGTCCTTAAACCAGCGTGGCATCCAATCTCCTTCAGAAAGTGTGTTCTCGGGCTAACGCCGGACGGTGCAGCTCCACCGCGGAGCTCGTCTATCCCCGAGTTTGTGATGACTGTCCCATCGCCGGACACGCTGGCTCTCAGGGCGCCGGCGTGTGTTTTTGAGACGGGACTCCCCCACTTTGTTTACTGCTCTAATACTGTGTCCTATTTTTATCTCAGTAGCCCCATAATCTCTCTTTACAAGAATGAATTTTGGTCTTTGTAGAGATACAGCAGAGAAAAAAACCAACTAAAAAAAGTAACAACTTTGGTTCCATCATCTGCTTGGCCTTCTAAATTTATGAAGGAGCAGCCCTTCCTCAGCTTAGCAACAGCCTACAGCTCACCCATCGCCTCTAAATTCTTTCGCCTCCTTTGATCAACAATAAGAGGATATTTGGCTTCATCAGATAAAGCATAAAACAGAGAACATAATTTACCTTTGTGTAATATCTTTGGTAATTTTAGAAAAAAAGGTACAAAGAATATAAATTAAGCTCCAAAGGGCTCTCAAACTAAAAACAAGAGCTATGGTCCTCCAGGAGCAACCGAGGCCGAGGCGCGTAGCGTTCCAGGCCGCGCACCGGCGTGACCCTCCCATCCCGCGCGCCCCTCCCCAGAGGCCCGGCCGGAGGCGCCCCTTGCTCCGTGTCTCCTACGGTTAGTTCTGACACTGGGTTGGTGTGATCACGTGGCACACACACTGAGCTGCAGCAGCAAATCTGCACATGTGAAATGAACACTTTAGCGTCTGCTGAACTCGGTCTCCGTTAACTCCCACAAGTTCCATCTGAAATCTAATCTGCATTCACACAGATTGATGCCACCAAGCGGGGCTGAACTGATGTTTAAGTCCACCACCACCACCACCTTCAGCAGAGCTGCTCGGGAAGCAGCTTTCTGGCCACTTTGCAGACAAAGCGACCCGCACGGGTTTACATGGCTGGGCCCCGGGCTCCACACAGGTGAGCCTCCAACAGCCAGACGTCAGTCTCCAGATGGGATGTGCGGGGTGCTCTGTTTCCTGGCGCTGCTGAGGCGCTGTGGCGTTCCCCGAGGACGAAGGCAGCTGCAAAATCAACGCGGCGGGTCTGAGCCAGCCCTTCCCGCTCCTGCATGTTTGTGGCGGACCCTGCACTGCTCCCGAGCCCACGCTTTTCTGTCATCCATTCTCTTCGCAGGCCCCCGCCGCGCAAGGACCTGCACATGTAGCGTGCAGCATTTGGGACCTTTTTGAAAAAGACCAAAACGGAATGTTTTCTGACTTCAGAGAAAACATGGTGATGTCTGAAGAAAAATGGAATGAGTGACAGAAAACTACCAACAAGAAATGACATTCAGCTTTGTATAATAAAAACACCTGTAACATTCATCACAAGGTACAGAGAACTTGAAGCCTCCAGGAGGCCGTGGGCCCAGCGGAGGCCTGAGGTCAGAACTTAAAAAGGTAGAGGAGAAGCAATAAGAAGAAAAAGCAATACATTAAAAAGTCTGGGATCATTATTTTTAACCCCCTCCCCCCAATAAGCACACAAAGGCCTTCCCCATCCCAACTGGAAGCAAAAAAACCCAAACCAACAAAACCCCGCGCTGGAGTAAAGGCAGTGATAATCAACATGCAGTGCTGTGCAAGCAGGCCGCCCGCGGACTGGACCGTCGCTCCGGGAGAGGCGTGGCTGCAGCGCAGGGGCACATGCTCAGCTGGGTGTCCTCAGGGTCCAACGTCGGCAGGACTGCAGTTCAAAGTCTGCTGCTAAAAGCGAATCAGTTTAGCAAATTTACAACAGGTGTTGACTGTTAAGAGAGGAAAATCCCAAGTACCAAACAAGTCCATCCAATGCACAGAGTACAAATTCCTTTTTTCAACAAAAAGTAGAAAAATCAAAAATATTCCCAAATGGGGTTCTGGATGGCACTGAGTTACACCTTTCAGAGTTTTGTCAAAATGCAGTGTGACTCCTCCAGACTGTACAGCAAATGGAGAACAATGTCACTGCTCATTTTTGACATGTTTTGTTTTTTTCCAATCTTCATTTTTGGGGTCGGCCTACCCAGACGTTCATTCCATGTCCTCATTTACTGCTTCGTCTTCATAATCTCTGTCCTGGTCAAAATCTGGACTGTGGTTGGCTGTGGTCACTAAGGACAGAGGCCCTTCGGCTTCCTCCGGGTCCAGGGGCTCCTCCTTGACGTGCACAGGATGCCTGGAAGCAAGGACAGGGTCACTGAGAGAACTGCCCGCCCAGTGCAATTTAGCCGTTTTGCGCAACACAAAAGCGCATCTAGGACCACACTGTCCAACACAGCGGCGCTAGCCACACTGGCTATTTAAATGAAAATTAATGCAACTTAAAATTCAGTGTCTTGCCCTAATCGGTTTGGCTCAGTGAATAGAGCGTCGGCCTGCGGACTCAAGGGTCCCAGGTTGGATTCCGGTCAAGGGCATGTACCTTGGTTGCAGGCACATCCCCAGTAGAGAGTGTGCAGGAAGCAGCTGATCCATGTTTCTCTCTCATCGATGTTTCTGGCTCTCTATCCCTCTCCCTACCTCTCTGTGAAAAATCAATAAAATATATCAAAAAAAAATAGCAATGAAAAAAAAATTCAGTGTCTCCACTGCACTGGCCACATTTCAAATGCTCAAGGCCAGGTGTAGGCAAGGCCACTGGACGGGGCAGCCCAGAGCAGGCATCCTGGCCACAGAGGGTGCTCCCGCCCTGGCAGCTGGAGTGTGGCGGTCTCTGGGCTGAGCAGCCATCCTCCCAGGGGCCTCAGGCATGGGCACCCCATTCCCTGAGGGTTTATGAGAAAGGAGCTGTGACTCAGCGGGTCTGGGGGGTCTGAGACTGCATGTGCATATGCTCCCTGGTGATGCTGCTGGTCGGAGGACCGCACTGAGCACAGGAAACGGGCGCCCTTGTGGCGTCCTGGGTGATGACTACAAATCACGTCACCACGCGAACTAGGAATCTGTGGGGCAGCGGTGGCTGGCGGCCACGAGCGGAGGCTGTGCTGCTTGCTCGTTAGCATGCGGACCCCGCGAGAGAACTCTCCCGAGAACGACCCAAGTGAAGTCCTATCATTAATCAACTTCAAGCAAACACAGCAAAGAGACACCATGATACATGCTTGAAACTCCAAATTAATGCATATTTTTACAAACTGTCAATAAGGCAAGAAAAGCCCTGCCAGGGAACACAAACGAAGAGGAAAATGCTCCCTCAACACAACAAGATGATAAGAAAGCAGAGCCCCGATCAGAATAGTAAGGCTGTCAGCTGTAAACAGGACCCCACAGGCGGCCACGGGGGCAGCGCGAGGGCCTGGAGGAGGCCACCGCCGCCTCATTAGGGACTGAGCGACTCAGCTGGAGGGGCCCACAGGGGTGGCAGGGCATCACTCTGATAAAAACTGAGAAATGTTCGTAAATCATATTTACAGCCAGGCCTTTGCAAATACAAATTACTTTGTGTTACAGGGCTTTGATATGTAAAAGAACCATTCTGCTGAGCTTAAGGCCCTTCCTGGGACAGCTGCAGAAGGGAGGATGTTGTAACTGATATTATCAGTTATTATTCGTGATAAGAGGTGTTCCTGTGGACGGAGGGCTGGCTTCCTGGGTAATTGATGCTGTGCCCAAACCCGAAGGCCACCTGAGCCACTGACAACAAACAGGAGTGCTGTGTGCTGCCCCTGACCCTGCGAACCTTCAGAAAACCCAGATTCCGAACCGAGAGTGGAGGGGGCGGGGGCGGGATGAAGCGTGTTCCTAGATCGTGCCGTATTCTTAAAAACTACTTGCAAAATAAACTGTAGCTAAGCTGTGCAATAACACGCTTCACTAGTTGTGGTCCCATCTACTTTCAGTTGTCTGATGGTCCTATTTGTCTGTGCTTCTACAGTGAGACCTGGACTGGCTACATAGCTGGCAGAGCCCTCTGTAAAGTCCAACTGTGGTTCAAAACTTAGTAGGAATTTCAGGCTGGAAGCAGTCCTGAGCATGGACCCTTCCTGCCCACTGCACCCCATGCGGACATGCCTGGACCACCGGCCCTGGCAGGATCCCTTGCACTCTTCTGGGAAGGATTAGGTAGGTGTACTGATTATTATTCCTTTAAAAAAAAAAAGGCACCCGTACTCCTAATTAGGGGAGGTGTTTGGTTTTTGCCTATCCTCTCCATTTGGGGTCATATTTCTGTATCCTGTGAATACAGCGGGAAGACCATCGTGTGTGTTGTTGGCTCTACAGTGACACTCTTCATGGCCCTGCGAGATGCCGTTCACACGGGACCTGGAGCCTCACTACTCTGACTGTCCCCTCCTGCTCTCTGTAGAATACAGTGGCGACTTCTATCCGTGAATCCTTCTCCCTCTGGTGACTGACCTCTTTAGGATAATTTTCTAAGAAGGACACTGTTAGGGCAAAGGCCAACACCATTACGGTTCTTACGATTTCTTGTGATAATCACTTCCAAAGGGACTGTATCAATTTAGACTCAACCTCATCAGCACCAATATTACTTTAAAATTTTTTTTGTCATATTTATTAAAACTTTTTAGGTTTACAAATCTGAATTTGATGATGTTGAGATGATACAAGACTATGGACTGGAGGGGGTGGGAGGACCTAGAAGAAATCCAACAGTCATCAGGAAGTTCTTGCTTTATAGTTTTAGACTGACAAATATTTTGCTGGGCAAAATGAAATAAATAAAAATCATCAGCCTGCCGACACAGTTCACGTTAGGGAGTATTCCCCCTCCCCTAAATGTGCAGCCAAATCTCAGTGAGCGTATTAGCATCCCAAAGACACAGGTAAAGACCCTATCATGCACGCCTACGGGCTCAATCCCAGTGCCCCGTGCAGGCCGGTCCCCACCAACGTGAACTGATGAGACTTGCTGTGTGACAACCAGACCACACACCAGCGTGACACCAGCTTCCGGCCGCAGATGCCGAGAGCAAGCGCAGCAGCACAGGCCCGCGGAGCTCAGACCACGGACGAGCGGGGCCTTCCGTGCCAGATGCGCTTCGGGTGAGACACAGGTTTCACTCACCCACATGTCTCCAGAACGGGAGCTGCAGGCCTCGCCTCTTCTCTTGCAGACCCGCCCCACTTTCTCTCCAACTCCTACTTCCCAAAGGGCTACCAGCGAAGGACTAAAACCACACATTTCCGCTCTCACGTCCGAGTAATTCCTTTGTTTAGCCACACTGGGAACAGCGCTTTTAACTGAAGCTGGCTGGTGTTTAACGGCATTGTGATCCCAGGGTGTGTGCAGAGCTTGCAGTATTTTGCTTTGTAACTCCTTTAGCTCCTATCAGGATAAAAGTATAATGCCCCAAAGCCATAATTATGCGTCTACTTTCTAGGGTTTCAAAAGAGAAACAAAATGTAATGGTATTTGAGTATCACAGAAACAGTAAGAATGCCCAGTTCTGTTTCAACACCAGACGTTAGCTGGGCTACGGCACTAACAAGGTCCTTTAAGCCTTGCTGTAAAGTTTACAGCTTGATTTATTCCAATAGACTGCAACAGTTAAGAAACAATTTGCATCATAGCAGGGTAATGCACATTGGAAAGAATGGAAACTATGCCATTACAGAACCGGCTTAATGGAAATATGGGGTCAAAAAGAGTAACAGTCTATGACACTGATAGCAGGCACAGGGAATATGCTATTGACATATGATTATATTTAGCAAACAGTGTGAACCTGTGAGATTTGAGCAAAAAATCATATGCATTTTAATGTCTTTATGTAGGGTTTCTTTTTTAAAAAAAAAAAAAATTTGAAACCTTTATTTTGTTAAAAATTATGCTGACTGCTGTAAAACATGGTTTCTGGTAATACTGGGTTAATTCTAAGTTGTTAAACAAATTAACTTTATAATGACTTTATCTTGTACAGCAAAAGTCACATTACTCTAAAATGTTGCCAGAGGTTTTTATCGAAATTTCTTTATTTTTTCCTTTTTAAGTGATCCTTCAAACTAAATAATAGAAATATACATCAACTAAACCTTGGAATCCATAGGATTATGAGACATAGTATCCTTTCATTCAATAATCAGATATTTTTGCTCTAATGAGTATTTCTTGAAGTATAGCAATTTACATTTGCTCTGAACTTCCTTAATATCCGAATAAATACTCCTGTCATGACAACGATTTAAAGATGAAAACGTGTGATACAATAGAAACCCCAGACTGCGTTAGAAAGCATGATCTATGGGAACATCGCTCGGAATACTGGTGAGAAAAGGCTAAGGACTATTCCTATAAACTAAAAGTCATTTCCAGCATTAAAAATCCTTTTCAGATCACTTTGGGCTTAAACCAAATGCTAAATAATCAAATTGCAGATCCCCCCACTAACCCAATACCTACCCTGGCAGACAGCATTTTTTCTGTCATTAGCTGCCAATTCATTCTGTTGCTAATTGCTACAGATCATATATTCCATTCCTACTGCTCAGACAATCTTCAAAGAAGATGTTAATCAGTAATTCAGAAAGTCTGTGTAGTCAAGCAGCTTCTTCTGGGGGCTGACAGTGGGCACACCCTGAGCTAGTTTATTCTGTGAGGTGGGCGTCGGTTTGCAGCCACTTGCTAAAGGCAGCCTCATTCTATGACCCCCACCCCACCCAGTCATTTGGGGGAGTGTGGTTTCTCTTCTTTTTGACCTTTTCCCCGAGAAATTGTCAGGTCCACCTGTTCCCTCCCCTGGCCCCCCACCGGGCCGAAGCCTTGGCCGGGTCTGCCTGCTCCTGGGCCATTCACATTCAGCACGGCCAGCCACTGCCCTCACTTCACTCAGTCACGTGTGTGCTCATTATACTGCCGTCTGCTGCTAGAACGCTCCTATTAATTTTCCTTCTGATTTTAACCGCAACCTATCAATCATGCTGCCTTTCATTTGTGCCATCATTGCTGCCTGGGAATAGCGCTCCGGCACTGTGTTCACAGTGAAGTTCATCCCACCAGCAGGCAGACAGCATCCCTTTCTCCCTGGCAGGTGCAGCGTCCCCGAGACCTGAACACACCAAACTGCTGCACAGTGTGCACATTGACTTCAGGGGACAAAGTAGGGTGGGAGGCAGAGGGTGGAAATAATGGCCCGGGATGCCAGGCAGAGGGCAGGAAAGCAACCTGACACCCACTCAATTGCTGTGCACACCTGTAGTGCTGCACGAAGCCGGCCCTTTCCATGGGAAAGTTAGAAAATGCTGCTAAGCAAGCTAAATGTTTCCAGAAGCACTGGGTTCTGGGAAATAAAAAATTATAGAAAAGGTGTAAAAAGTGGCCACAGAAAGGCTTGTGTGCACACAGGACAGGGGGACGGGAGTCTGGCAGACGTCTCAGGGACGATACTCACACGGCTGGCACGGGGGACCTGCCGGGGCTGCTGTCGCTCTCGGTGCTGTTGGCGTGCTCCACCGCCCCGTTCAGCTCTTCCCGCACGGCGCTGGCCAGGCCGCCCAGAGTGGGGTTCCCCATGGAGGCGGCAGTGTACAGAGGTATGCTATTCTCAGCCATGGACGCCTGTCATCAACCGAGAGAACAGTTAGGATGCAGGATGCACAGAGAGGGGACCTACTCATGAAGGGTGCAGGCAAGCATCTTCAGCTTAAGCTCCTTGTAGTGTGGTTGGCAAATTTACGTTTCTAGTGACAAGCATTTTGCTTTAAAAGTAAGATTTGTGACACACGTCCCAAGCTTAGTTTCAAAGCGCTCCCTGGGGGATCAGACGCCCACAGGGAGGGGAGACTCCATCAGCCCTGCTGAGCAGAGTCACATGGTCCAGACAAGGCCATCTAATATGAGGTTTGTGTCTGATGCCTTTTTTCAAGAGCAACTGAATATTTCCAGATCACAGGGAAATGTAATGGAATTTTCATTTCTTTATCCACTTTGATGACTCCAGTATTGGATATTAGAGATTTGATCACATTATTCTGGCTGCACAGCTCAAACTTATGAGAACTTCCATAAACATTACTTCGTAGATCCTATAGAGGAGGAAGAGATTATAGAATTGGAATCAATTTTTATCTTCCCCCATCATTTCTGTTTTAATGGTTTTTTTTTTTAATTTGTTTAGTGTAGTTTGAGAAACTGGTTGAAGGTAACACCCACAAATCTTTCACTCTCAGACCAACTAATCGCCTAGAATGTTAGGACAAAATAAATAGATAGATAGATAGATAGACAGACAGACAGATAAATCTCTGCAAAAAGGAAGCTCTAAATTGTATTTCTTTTGGGAACTTAAGTAGATCTATATTGAAGGTGACAGTCAGTCCAAATGAGTGTCAGCAAAAAAGTATGGAAATGAAAAAACAATCCTGAACTTATTGTGGAACACTGTTCACTTGAAAGCTCTGCTGGGACTATCATCTGAGTCTCTTTTCCCTGGAAATACCCCCAGATCGGCTCTCACTGGGTCATTTCATTAGACAGTTGCAACATGGTCAAAGTGGGGCCATCTCTAGCTTGTATTTTAGCAGCTTCTCGAGTCAAAAGCTGAGAAATAAAATAGAAATGTTTATGAGAATGCGCTCTTGGGGATGAGTAGGTCACCCAGTTGACAGGGCAATCAACTTGGGGTCCTTTCTCCTTGGCTCTCAACATGTCCTAGCTGCGGCCATTCCGACTAGGACTGGATCACAACACGGGGGCAGAGGCCCGACAGTCACAGTGGCGAAAGGCATCCAGAAGGCAAGCACTTACACTGACGCTCAAACAAGGAAGATGTAGTAAGTGAAGAGAACCAGCTTGTCCCCTTACAGAACGACCTGCTGGCTGCACAGGGACCTGGTGCCTGCTGCACAGCAGGGCTGCTGGGACATTCTTTGTTGAGTGAATGATCAAAGCAACCCCCCCTCCCCCCACCCCCCCTCAACAAGGTTAGAAAACTGCTTATGCCTAAACAAGTGGTTCCTCTGGTAGCTGATGTCACCTCACCAACAGCTGGATGACCATTTGTACGATGGACTTAATTACATGAATGGTCCAGTGCATAGTATGTGGTTTATACCAAAGTGGCACCTCTGCCCACAACACGACGGTGCTTCAGGCATCCTGAGGAAGCCCGAAGAGCCATCGCTCCTGGGGTGTGAGCGCCCTGGGATCCTCGGGGAAAGGCGTCTATAAATATGGAGCTTTACGGTTACCCTTAGTTACTTCCCTTTTTCAAAGCATAATGCAATCTGTCCCAAGTCCAATGTTATATTTCTGTAGTGGATCCTGCTGTCCTATTTTATATACCGTACAGCACGCATGTCACACAGTGATCTTTGTCAGATGCTGCTCCGCTACGATTTCCACTTGTCTTGGAAACGGACACGGGTGATAATGGGAAGGCAGGCCTGCTGTGGGTCTGTATTGAATTTGCACAGCAGAGTTTCCTGATGACCATGGTCCGCACAGAGCGAGGAGAGGGCACCGATGACCCACTCACTTCCTCGTGGGGTCAGGGTCCTGGGAATGGCAGCAGCACTGGGGCCTTGGAGAGAACAGGAGGGGCAGAGGGTGCGGAAAACAAGTGTTTGGAGAGAGGCGTGGGGGGCTCTGGAGCCACAGAGCATGCTGACTGAATCAGTCACAGTTAGGGAGCCCAGAGGACGGAGGTTCGCTGCTTTTTCCCCCCTTTCCGCCTCATGAATGTAAAATGTGCTTGTAATCTTAATACTTTTCCAGATAGAGCAGAGCAGTCTTTAAATGCACAGTTCACAAGACTCCAGGGAAAATAAGCGCTAATGAGTGGTATTTACAGTGGCGGCATCTACGCGTGCTTTCATTTGCTTTTCTAAAGTTACTGTGTAAACTACAAGTAATTAAAAGAAATGCAGAGAGTAGTTCCTCCTGGTGGATTTGGTTCAGGCTAAGAATAAATAAATATAATTACTGAAAAGCTAAGTTCAGTGAATTTGCCTCCGCACGGAAACTGTGTAAAAGGCGTGTCATCCATTCTGGGAGCCTGAGCCTCTGCCAGGTGACCTGGGGAGTCACTGTGGGATGCGGAGCAGGTGCTCAATAAACACAGGTTAACGAGCCATGAAGCCAGGTTCCCAACATCGTCTCCTCTGTAACCAGCCCTTTCCCATAGTGCCAAGTGTCTCAACCAGAGGGTCATTATCATCCCGTAAGGAACTTTTTAAAAACTTTTGCTTCTGAATTTGTGCCGCCTTCACATGAAGCATGAATATCTGTTTATGTGCGAAGGCCTTGGAGGGGCACAAGACACTAACAGCAAAGAGCCCATTTTAGGATGATATAGGCCCATCCAGAACGCATGCTGAAAAGGTCTTCTGTGGTCTGCAGCTCCAGCTATAGGATATGTCATGTAGAAGCTATCAAGGCTGCCTGGATCTGTGTTCCAGAACCACCTAGGTGGGTCAAGTTCCATCAGGACCCCTGGCCATAGGGACAGCCGACCTGGGAACTGCTGAGGGGCTTGGGTCCCTCCCAGGCATGTGCCTGAGGGGCCCTGCAGTCCTCCTCGGCTTACAAAATGACCACTGCCTGGGAACTGAGGAGCACGGACGCAGAGGTGTGCAAGGTGTGAGCGCTGCCCTGGGAACTCCTGTTTGCTGGTGATCTCCCTCCTGCTCAGCCGGCCTCACCCCAGCACAGCGCGCTCAGGGCCGCATCTGCCAGAGGAAAGGCACCCTGTGCCGCGGCGGCCCGGCAATCTGCCGGACGTGGGGTTTCTGCAGCACCCCCGTCACTTACACGCCACAACTTCCTATCACCCAGCGACCCACACCGGACCCCCGCGGCCCCGCCCATAGCAGAGGAAAGATGCCGAAACAGACTTGAAAAGGAGAAATGAAAAGCCCTGCTTTCTCTGTGGAGCCGGAACAATAGGAGGCACGTGACGGCGGCCTATCGCCAGCACATTAATAGCTGTGCTGCAGTAATTACACTTGTGGTATTTTTGCCTCAAGTGAAATTCTGAAATAAGAGGATGGAAATTATGATACCGCTGATAAATATTAATAAGTGAACTTTTAATTTTTTTGCCACAATATTCAAAATGCTAAGCATCCTGCTAACGCTGAAGCAGCCGATGTGTTTGCCTCCAGGGAGGACGATGCTTTGTGCACTTAAGAAAAAAGTTTAACGGAATTAAAATTTAATATCTAATTAGAGGGAGGCTAATATATTGTGAGATGAGCGGGGAGGCACTGCCCGCGCGCACGCTCCGGACGACCATCGATCTTACCTGCAAAGCCGCGCTGAGAGGCGTGCAGTAGGCGTGGCTGCTCTGCATGTTTTTAATGAGGGAAGGGTTACTGCACAAGAGAAAGAAAACTCAAGTTAAATGCAATCACCCCCGAGTTCCTAGCTACGTTTTGTTCAAGCTTTCTGGCATCCTTCCAAATCAGAAACATCCCCGCTATCAAACCAGAGGGGCCTTGCTCCATATCTCCTGGCTGTACAGGGTTTGTCTGTGAACTCCTCTGGGAAAACAGCTTTTGCTTTTCAAGGAAACTGGGCGTAAAACTGCAGCTTAAGTAATGGGCACTCCCTCCACTGATGAATTTTTGTGCCACAAAATACTGGCCTCCGTCAGTTTGTAAAGCGGCCACTCTGACAGAGAGCAGAGTCCTGGGCCTCGGCTATGGGCCGGACTCGACTCCTGCTGCGTCTCTCTCCAGGACCTGAGCTGCGGAGGACACGGGGAAGGGCCCGCGGCTCCCTGGCAGCCTCTGAGGCCGGTTCCTGGAGGAGACGGGAAGGCTGTATTGGGGGAGGGCCGCTGCCCGCAGGCTGAGGGTGCTCTTACACAGCCAAGTCTGGGAGGCAGGAGGCTGTTTAGTGCTGGTCCAGTAACTGAAGACAAGAAACAAGATTTCCTAAGGAAATCTCTAACCTGGTAGAGTAAAAATATTAAATCATCACAGAGGAGATACTGGGGGAAGGAGTGGCTCCGGTCAGAAGTACCTCCACTTATCGGGCCAGTAGAGGAAGGATACGCACTGACATCCATTTCTTCCCTAAGCTTGGAGCACTTTAATCAAACACTCCCTACATTATATTATTATTCTGAGTAAGCAAAAACAAGAAGAAATTTACCCAAGTACAAGTTTAACTCTAAATAAAGCTTTCTTCTTACTTGGGGGGATTACGAGTCACACAGAAGTATTTAGTGACAGGGCCCCTGTTAGCTGCCGAATCAAAAGGTGACCAGTATTTGCATTAAAGACATCAAAAAAGCATTGCTCAAGGCACTGGTGTTCCAAGGAGAACCGAGGGAACGTGCAGGTCACACGGTTCAGCTCCTGGAGCAGGCGGTGGCACTGCCACCCGGTGAGATGCGAAACTACATGGGATGAGTCCACCATGCAAAGCCAAAGCAACAGCAGAAAACAAAAAACAAAAGCAAGTTAAAGGCTCTTACTGTGCGACAAGCTCGTCAAAGTTTTCATCGGGGCAGTATTTGCGAGGACGGCCTCGTTGAATATGGCGGCCACGTTTAAACTCTTCATCATCAACTGTCCAAAAGGACCCACACTCATCCTCTACTCTGATAAAGCACTTATGCAGTGAGAGGTTGGTGCGAATGGCACCCTGGGGGAGGAGCAGCAGCAAAGGAGATGAAGGGGCAACAAAAGGAGACGGGTTGGGGGCAGAACAGACATCCAATACAGGGAACAGGAAAAAGAAAATAAAATGCAATAAGCATAAGCAAATGGTTTGTGAGGGTTAATATGCATTGCCACCTAAAAGCTACTAGCATGTGATGCAACAAAGACTGGCAAGCAGGGCGGGGACTGGTGGGTACACGACAGGAGGGATGGAATGCTTTTTTGCTTCCCTTAACTGAGACAACGTGAAACCAGTTCTTGGGTCTAACACCGTCTAGCAGCCAAAGCCTCTACGTTACACTTGTTAGCACAATCCAAGCTGGGCTGAGAAGTTTAAACGTGGTGGACGTACCCACTGATCTTTTGTGGCCTTCGTTTTTGGAACTCTACTTCATCCACTGTCCATACCGCCCCTTTAACGTTCTCTACTCGCACAAAACACTTGTGGAGACTAAGATTATGACGCACTGCATTCTGCAGCAAGTATAAAAGAGAGAACATTTACATTTTCTATGAGAAAAGACTCCAAAAACAGCAGTAAATTCAGCCTAACAGTCCCCATTTGTAAAACCATCCCCAAGAGCTGTAGTTACCACCCCCGTGGACAACCTTCTGTGGTCCAGAGTGCCGTTTCCAAAAGCAAAGATCAAAAACCAAAACCATCAGTTAATTGTACTGTGGCATTTTAGTCTAGTCTCAGATCACAGTGATCCAGAAGGAAAAAAAATTAATATGCATATAAGCCCAAAGTAGATTTCACAGTAAAAATCTGAAAATACTGTTCATGTGACTTCAAAATAAGGAAGTATGAGCAGCATACAACTGTCCCTTTAAACTCACTGACCTCCCATGAAAGGGCAGCTTGTTTCTATTTTTTAAACCAGGAAAGGTGAAGACGCAATTATTATTATTCAATACATTTTGTTCTTGTTGTTCGTTCAAGTTTTGTCTTTAAAATCATCTATGGGTTTCTCCGATTAATTAGGAAGAAGTCTAAATTGGATTTCACCATTGAGAGTGTCCCTCCTGGGGCTGACAGGAGCGGGGTCAGGGGTGAAAGAACCCCCGAAGGATCAGCATCCATCATCAAGGTATGCCTTACCTTCCGGAATCTACACAGAAGTTGGCCCTTACTATGGGCAAGCACCTTAACTGAGGAAGATGCCAAAGGAATATGAGTAGAATCATTCTCAATGGGAAATGACGATATTCCAACATGGACGTTTCTACAGACACGCTTCTCTCTTATGGCTAAAACCAGTCACTGCTGCCCGCCCTCAGTGGAGAGCCTTGGCAACTATAGAACTCTATCCGAGAGGAGGGTCCCAGCAAGGGGCGGAGAGCTCTCAGCATCTCTCCCTTGAACGTCAGGGAAACCCACAGCCTTTTGGTGCAGCGAAATGTGGCCTCATTTCTCTAGTCCTCCTGTTGCACTTACTGATCTAGACACAGAGTTAGACATGAGGACATTACGAAGAGACCATGTCATTTACTCAAAACCTTCTTCTTATAGAAAATATGTAGGTGACACATGGGCGTGAGAAGCTGATGCATGCATCAGGCCTCATGTACATTGCGCACAGCCCTTAACTCCAATACCACGGCTGCGGCTCAAACACTGTGCCCCTCCGCTTCTACTACCTGCAACGTCCCTCTCTAAAGTGCCCTACAAATGATAAATCTTAATAATCACCACGGGTGACTCTGAGGAGTCAAATGAGATAATGATGGATTTTTTCTTTTCTGATATGGAATGTTTAGAGGATAATGAGGCTAGTTTTATTACACAGCCTGATGAACTTGCTCACAAGGAGCGTCCACAGGACAAATTCTCGAGAAGCCTTGGAGAATGTCAGTGTAATGGGGGCAGGTGCACGCACCCAGCTGATTGCAAAAGGAACCCTGGTTCAGGGAGAGGTCTGAGAGTCTTGCATCAAAAAAAAAACCAAAAAAAAACAAAAACCAAAAACACATAACGAAACAAAAACCTCTGAAAAATCTTTGACATGTTATAACTGTACTTGGTAAGACAACTTTTTTTGCATATACATTGTAGTCTGGTCTCTAAATAAACATATTTTTCAAGGATGCTAAGCATCTACTGTTATCACCTAGAACAACACTGAGGAAGTCGAAATAAATAAATGAATCCACATTTCCTTAAAAAACAAACCAGACAGAGC